TCGAGCTCGAAGAAACACTTCAATGGCGTCGAAGCTTTTCACTACCTTCTTCTTCCTCCTAATCTCACTTTCCGATTCTTCTCTAACTCCGATTTCTTCCGCCGTCGAAGTTCTCTCCGATTCCGGCTACTTCTCCATGGGACTAACTCTAAAGCTCGCGAATCAAGATCTGAATCTCGAAGATTGGCAAGAACTCACCATATTCGCACCTTCCGATCAATCTTTCTACAAATTCGGCCAACCTTCGCTTCTCGACATCAAATACCATCTCTCTCCGACGAGACTCCCCGGAGAAACCCTAAGGAACCTTCTCAATGGCGCGAAAATCCCTACTCTCAGATCCAATTCGTCTCTTTCCGTCACGAATTCTTCCAGATCTGGAGGTAATCTCTCGATTAACGACATTACAGTCCAAGATTCTCCTCTTTTTGATGACGGATACGTCGTGATTTACGGAGCCGACGAGTTCTTCACACCACCGGAGAAAATCTCCGATCCAATTCTCAATTCATCAATCCCAAACACTATCCCTAGCTCAGCGACTAAGCCATCTTCGAATTGCTTCAACATCTTTGAATCAGCTTCGAGTTTGTTGATGTCTAGAGGTTTCGTTATCATGGCTACGTTTCTTGCTCTGCAACTGGAAACTTCAGAGAGCGACGACACGAAGCTCACTGTCTTCGCTCCTATCGACGAAGCGATTCCGAATCTCACCGCCAGATTCTCCGATTACGCTACTGTTTTCAGAGGACATGTAATCAAGCGACTTCTCTCATGGAAAGATCTTCAGAATTTGGCATGGGAAGGATCGATTCTGCAAACTGTTCTTAAAGGATATGATATTGAGTTTTCTTGGTCAGGTGATATTCTTCTTCTCAATGAAGTACCATTGATATATCCAGATCTGTATGTTAACGATTGGATTGTTGTTCATGGAGTTAATCAAATGATCGTACCAAAAAGAAGTCAGGCTACATTAGGAGAATCTATCTCAGTGCTTAACAATGGGAAAGAAGAAGAAGCAGGACAAAGTGATGTTCATGAAGGTGACTATGTTCTTCACTGATGATTGATTTGATTCAATAGATAATGTTTTTCCATAATATCGAATATGTTCTTAAAGTTTGTAAGAAAGAGAAACACTTTTTAGTTTGAATGTGAATAAAAAAGTTCTGATCTTTAGACTCTCTTGGTGTGAGTGTTGTTACTGCTTCGATACCGGGATATGAGATTTAGCGAATTGGATCCACGTAACAATGCCAGCAGCTAAGATGACCCATCCGAGCACATCGTACTTGAGATCACTGTTCTTCTTTGTCTTCATAGTCTGCTGAGGTAAACACAAATGTTTAGATTGCATCAAACAGAATCGACAAATCAATTTGGATTTTTGAATAGAGAGGAATCAACCTTTGAACTGGTTGATGATGGTCCAGCGACACCGCCCAATGGTTGTGGCCCTGAACCATGTTTGTAAACCTCTGTATATAGTTCTGGAGCCTGCACAGAAGACAAGGAGAAATTGATCTAGAGAACAAAAACCAAAGTTTCATAACCCCATTACTTCACTATACAATGTGCTTTTTCAACACTAAAAAGCTTCATCTATAGGCATAAAATACGATTCCGGTTCACTGATATCCTTTTTCAAGAGTAGATAAACCCGAACCACTAGCAGTTTCTATTACTAGGAAAACTTGAGGAACCTCTACAACATCATGTAGATCTCAATTCCTTTAATCAATATCAAAAGATGAACCTTAGATGGTGATAGATGATAGATAAAGAAGTACCTTAGAAGCCAAGTCCAATGATCTCAGGTAGAGTTCGTTTCCCGGTTGCTGTAAAAATCAAAAACAAAATACATCTCACATTACAAAACACCACTCACAAAGATGACAATAGGTTTGGATTATGAATGAAAGAGATGATATTGATACCTCCTCCAGAGCTTGTTGAAAGAAGTGAGTAGCTTTGTCAAAGTGATCTCTAGCTTCGGTTTGATCAGGAATCAAAAACCCATACGAGGTATGAGCGTTCCCGATGCACCAAAGCGCATCGTGCTTCTTTGGATTGATTAACAACGCCTCGTCCAGCTTCGAAATGGCATCTACGCAAAATTCATCATCTATTAATCTCAACAACAATACCAAAGGCTAATCTAGCCAAGACAATTTTGAAACTCTAACATCATAATACACATTTACAGGCAGATTTGATGCAATTTAGGTCCTTAGACAAATCAAAGGTCAATCTAAAACGATGCATAGCCCAAAAAAAGTAACCTAAAAAGAGAAGAAGAAGCAAAAGCACCTTGAAGCATTAGCTTTGAATCAGAAGGGTTTTGAAACTGGGATAACTCCAATAAAGATCCTCCCCATCTCGTCAAGTTCTACAGAAATCAAACTTTGTTAAAAAAACCCTATTCAATTTCCGCCATGGAATCACAAGTAGAGCTCCCAAAATCCCAAATTTCCACCGAATTTCTCACAATTTTCCGATTCTCTTTAGACCCAAAACAAAAATAAGCGAGATACAGAAACGCATCATCATGATTCATAGAACAGAGAGAAAAAGGTTAAGAAAAACAAACATCGGCATCCAAAGGGTTTTTGACGTAGGTGGCTTCTGCTGCTAAACGAGCATGATCGAAGAACATCAATCTCTCGATATCATTCTGCATATCCATGGCTTCTAAAGCTTCGAGAGACACCGATTCTTCTGTAACAATGGCAGATTATAGCGAAAGAGAGAAACAATGATTTTGACCC